GCCCGATTTTGTGATAAACGCGGTTTTATGTATGTCTTCGGGTCTCATAGCTATTTGATAGTAGCCAGACGTTAAGTCCAACGTAGTCATGTATCTCGTAGACTTAATCTTTCTAATAATTTCCTCTATAACCGGCAAAGGGTAAACTGGGAACTTAGTAACACTATTAAGCTTTCTGTAACCGCCGGGTCGGCGTAGTTTGTGAGCTTGACGCTCACAAACTACGCCGACCCGGCGGTTAACTAAAAATCGAAAAGTACAGCTAAAGATAAATAATCAGGATGAATAAATAACAAGGATGAATAAACCTACGAGGCTCTATAAACGTGACTAACTTAACCGCGTTCTAAGATACAGCTGAGATTTCAGCAACCTTTCTGAATAAGAAGTTGAAAGATTCAACAAACTACCGAAGTAGGCTCACAGGCCGAAACGCGCGGTTCTTAAATTTCTACCTAGCAACCTTCACGCTTGTGAATCAAGAAAGCAAATTTACAAACTCGTTTCCCTTCTATTTAACTCAAAAATACTTCCGCTGAAAATTTGAATACTTTGCGCGTTCTACTAAAATTTACATACTCTGGCATTGGCAATTCCAGGGGAAAGTAAAGGCTTGACAGTAAAGATAGCTTAAACTTAAAATAAATGTTAGTTAAAATAAATATAAACCCTACAGTACAATTATTGGAAAATGGAACACTTATTTGGGTGTAATTGTACATTCTAAAGGGGTTATTCTTCATTAAATGGGTATTAGTAAGGAATATTTAACTGATATAATGAGTATTTATGAATAAATTTTCTGTATTCGAGATGGATGAAAGTTAAAATATTCAAAAATATGTATAGCGGAGATTTTGGTAAAATGTCTCTTACTGTTTCTTTCTTTGGTTCGTTCTCTAAATATATATATGTTGTGTACAGGTATGGTATTGTTTCACAAGATTTCGTTCATAAGAGAATAAATTGGTAAATAAATTAATGAAAACTGACATTCACGAAAGAAAATCCTAGTATAAGGAATTAAAAAATAGACTACATATGTGATTGTCTAGGGAAATTTAGTTGGAATTGGACTAGGTTCGAAGAAATGTGTTAACATTATACACTAGAAATAAAATTATATAGATTAAACAAAATTTCAAGAGCTTAAATAATAACCAATGGGTAAAATCAATGGTCATTCACCTCTCATTCAATACTGAAAATGTTTATCACAGGCATTTCTTTTGTATGTGTAATTTAAATAATCGTTAATTTTACGTGAAAGTTGTCAATAAAGTCAGAAATATCCGTACTTAGTTGCAGGAAAAAGGCAATAATGTGAAAATTTTCATAGTCGATACATTTAAAGTTTAAAAATAATAGTATGCAATGCAGTCAATTATAAAAAAAAATACTGAAATGAAAGGTATTAAGCGTTCAAAATTATAAGAAAGACTTCAGGATGTATACATGAAACTGTGAATATGGTTCTAAAATTATGCATGAAAGTAGTGAATTCATTCTAGAAATGCGGAATCTTAGTTAGCTTAATGAGAATCGAGATTCAAAACCGAACATTGATAACATTGAAGAGCTTAAAAGCATGCATTCAGATAAAAATGATGTAAAACTTTAAGGAAATATCAGAATGTGCAGGAAATATTAAAATTTGAAAATGCGATGAAGTTAATAATGAGGTAAAATTGTACAGTCAGTCATGGTAAGAGTGCTACAGAATGATAAATTGTAGAATTGCAAATTAAAATAGTACTATAAAGACTAAATAAGGGCTATTTAACGCATTGGATATAAATAATAGTTATCGGTTGTAAAATAAAATGCTTAATTGAAAAATATCTCTATGTTTATGACATCTAAATATGTAAATTTAGCTGAAATAGTAAAATCAAATGCGTGATTACAATCGAAAATTATAAAAAAAGAGTTAAAACTTAGAGTATGTTGGAACCTAGAAATGTAAAAAAAATCTAAAAAGTATTAAAATTATATCTAAAATTAATTAAAGTTCATGTATATGGTAGGAAAACGTAATAAACAAGTTCAAAATTAGAGTACGTTAAAAATTGCGAAGGTTTGAAATGTACGAAACAAGTTAAAAATAATATCTAAAATTCAATACAGCTTATATAAAGTCAGAAAATAGAGGCATTAAGCTAAAATTAAGAGCCTGTTTGAAATGATGAAGGTTAAAACGTATGAAAGTAGTTAAAAATTAAATGAAAGTCATGTACATAGTGTGATAATATAGCAAATTAGTTAAAAATCAGAGTATGTTGGAAACTAAAAATGCTAAAAAGTAGAAAATAAGTTAAAATTTATATCTAAAATTAAATAAAAGTATATGATCTGAAAATATAAGAATTGTGTTAAAATTAAGACTATATTGGAAATTATGAAGGTTAAAATATATGAAAGAAATCAAATAAAAATCATGTATATAGTGTAAAAATATAATAAATTAGTTAAAAATTAGAGTACATTAAATATTATGAAGGTTGAAATGTATAAAACAAGCTAAAAATTTACATCTAAAATTAAGTAATATAATAAATAGAAACGCAGTACTGAATAATTATGCTCGTAAAATGCAACAAATGAGTTAAAAGTACTGGGTTAAAAGGCATGAAAGAATTCTGGGTAAAATGGAATAAACAACAAAAATAAGGAATCGAATTAAGATTACGGAAAGTAAATGTGGTACTATGAACAGAAGATTTAAGAAATAAGGTAATAATTCTAAGTATATAGGAAATCATAAGTATCATCATCTTAAAGTATACGAAAACATAAAAAAAATTACATCTAAAATAAAGACTTTCTGAATCAATCACTAAATTCAAAAATAAGCGCCGTTAAGGATACCAAGGAAATAACCATCATACACGTTGTAAAATAGCTGGAATACAAAGAAAAAATACACAAGCTGAAAATTCGTTAACAAAACCTTCCGAAAATCAAGAAAAGATAATCTCTTATCAAAGTGGGATGTCATCAGTTATATAAAGAATCCTGAAACACTCTCTGTGGGAAGGGACTGGCACCTGGGTATTCAAAAAAAAAAAAAAAAAAAAAAAAAATGACTGTGAAACTGTGAAAGAGAGACCCTCAGGTGTCAGAAAGCTTTCGGTAAAAGCCTATGTGTGAATGATTATATATATGTGTGAAACTAAAGGATGAAATTTATTTTTTACAATTTTACAATATTTTTAACAGTAATTTCTTTCCAGAAAAGGACACTGTCGCGTCGTCATAGTAACCTACGCTTTCCGTTACCACGGTTGCCACTCGATCAAACCTAAACTTTTAATGTTGCCTAATAAAATTCCATGCCAGCAGCATGCGAACTCCTCCACAATCTCTACCTCTTCCGGTGATACCATGCATGACGTAGCCGCCCTTCCGCAAACGTCACTGACCACACCCGCACCTCACACCCCAACTCACACCGCAAGTGCAGGTGAACTGTCATATTCTATTCACTCCATTTTCTGTAAATCAAACTGATTTTCTTATGCCTCTTCAAAAATTAGAAATGCTACCTTTATTTAAGTTTTCACCAATTTTTCTATATGTTTTTCACCAATATCTTACTATATGTAACTTAATGTTTTCTTGCATAGCTTTCGGGGTAACCAGCTAATGCTTTGAATCATTTCTGTAATTTTATTACCTTTTAAAAATTTGGCGAATTAAAGAATGCATAGCTTTCGGGGTAACCAGCTAATGCTTTGAATCATTTCTGTAATTTTATTACCTTTTAAAAATTTGGCGAATTAAAGAATGCATAGATTTCCAACCAACTTGAGAACAATCTAATATCACATTGATAAATATCATACGCTGAACTCCAGTTAATGGAATCAATAGTTGAATCCTCTTATCTAATTAACTGAACAAGATAGTATCTGATTGGCTGTCCAAACCTTTTATATTCACACGCCACTTTCAAATGAAGGAAAGCCTTTTTTATCAACTTAAGCAAGTTATGCATTCCCCCCCCAATTATTCTGTCATAACTTTTGACAGAACACAGATAACAAAAGAAATTAGATATATTACATTCTTGATTAAATAATCCTTCAAATGATATTTAGCTTAATGCTAGCTTCCTAAAATAAGGTGATGCTATTACATTTTTGAGCCATCAGCCCTCAAAAATGAAATATCTCCAAAAGAATTCCACAATTTGGCCACTAGTGTATATCTATCCATATTATGGGCTAGAGTTGTACGTCATATTCACTGAATAACTGAAAAGACAGTGTCATGGTAAAAAAAAAAAAAAAAAAAAAAAACCTTTTTTTATAATTTTATGATAATTTAATTAGAATTCTATAGAAAACAAAACTCAGATTAGATCGTTGATTAAAACAAAGCACGTGGGGCTATTTGGTAAGTAACTGAAGATCATTGCTTAGAAAGCTTAATAAACAAAACATTTTATTAAATTATACCTGTGATCCTTTAAAATGTGGCAACAAAGGCTTTTACATTCGAGTACATTGGAAATCAAACTAAGAGATGTTTTGCTACCATCAACTGCACAATATTTCTTATTTGTTTTCTGTGCAGCATTTTATTATATGTTAATAGTGTTTAAAAAACAACATCAAAACCAAAGGCAAAATTTACACACGTAATAAATTTTAAATTGTTTTTAATGCAATTTTCATTAAAATATTTATGTCCTTGAAAGTTGCACCTTAAAATATAATATAATTCTCTGTTAGTATCGAAATGAAGCAGCAAGTTTAAATCAGTATTCAGTGATGCTGCTGATACTTTTAACAAGTCCTGAAGATGATTAAAGTTATTAAACTATTTACGCATTACGAAGCTTTTCGTCATTAATAGGTTTATAATAATAAATTCTGCTAACTATGTGCGGGCCCCAAGAGATAATCTTGAGTTGCCAACAGATCGTCTCTTTCCAATATCATTTTATGAATTAAAAAAAATATTTTACCTGAGAAGGCATAAAAAGTAATACTTACACAATTGCATTTCTTGCTGGAGGAATATCTCCAGCTGCCAGCTATCTGTTGCTTTCAGATGCAAGAGGTTACAGCGGCCAAAAACAGAAACGTGTGCTTTACGATCGACTGCATATTTTACAATAAAGCAAACTAACCAGCCGGCTTTGCTTTCAGAATCTCTCTAACAAGTCAGAAAACAGGACAAAAAATAAATCCTCCCTCGCGCACTTTCTTACCTCTCAACTTTACTTGACAACTTGCCCCCCTCCCTTTTACGAAGAAAGATAAATGCTACTCAAAATAAAGACATCACTATTTTTTCCTTCCTCCTAGGGTTGCCACGGTCCGTTGAATGATCTGCTACGGCAGAAGAGCACGTCACTACTAAGTGTAAACATGAGAACTAATGTGTTATGTGACACACGGCGACACATGGTAGAGATTATGAGAACTCCTTGTCTCGGAGAGAATCGGTATCTTGTATTTTGAACCGCGCTGCTACTTTATGCTGTTTACGCGGTAGTTAAGGAAGCATGTTTATGGGATGGATATGTTATACGAGGAAGAGCTGAAGCTGTAAATATGCTCGATTATTATTTTTTTCGGCTGCCGGTGTTTTGTTAGAGTGTTCTCAAGTACATTTATCAGCTCTAGTAATTAAGTAGTTGGTTCCAGAATAAACACTCTTGGTATTTTCAAAATAAGTGAAAAAAAAATGCGCGTCAATTTTAGTAAACTGTGCAATATCTTTTTAACCGTCTCTTACCGTAGGATATAGTGAACCATCCACAGTTCCAGATCGCCATCCACAGTTCCATACTATCTAAGAGGACCATCCAAGGTTCCAGACTATCTTCCTCTTCTGTGGGGGGCGCCCGCTTTGCAAAGGTTATACATATTCTGTAGCTTGTGTTCTGCATTACACATTGATGCATTATGGATTTTGCATCACGCAGTATGGGATAAAATCTTATGTGAATCGCTACCCAGGTGCAAATGTATTTGGCTAGAGTTTTATTTAAATGATTTCTAAAACTGTGCCCTGAATTATTAAATTGTCCAGTTTGAAAATACAATGACAGCTATTTCTGTTCCAAGTTTTGAATCACAAAGTCGACTTCAAAAGAGTTCTATTTCAGTAAGCGCTTAATCTTTCCATAGAGCTGAAAAGGTAAATAATTATTTTTTTTTATTTTGAGGCTGATGGCATTACATTTTTTCCTTCAATAGCCCTTTTTATTTGAGGGCACATAGCATACTGACACTTTAAGAGAGGAATAGAATGCAATAGTTGAAATACACTGGGCATTTAATCAGCTACAGATAGAAGTGGGCGAGACACCAGAAATTCATTATTGATAGTACAGATATAGTCCCATCCCACTAACTGTTCAGCTCTGCCCCGGGCTTTACAGGGAACACACCGTGTACTGTTCGAGGGTCTCTTGCCTCCCTTTCCCTACCATTAGCCTCTCGAAAGAACTTTCAATGTATTTTGAGTGCCCCATCACCGCAGAGACACTATATCTTTACAAACATTCATGCTTTCTCCGAGATTCAATTTTAGCCCATTTATCAGCTTAGAAGACATTGAGATGAAAACAGCAAAAACGACTAAATCCACAATATCACGAATACTTTGCTCAACTCGTGCAACATAGGAGTTCGCGGCTGATCTGGATCCCTGCTAATGGTGGTACATTAGGAAATGAAGCAGATAAACTAACCGTACCGGCAGCTAATAATTGCAGCTTTTTAGAACATTCGGAAAAGACGTCTGTCTCCTACCTAAAAAAGATAACGATGGAGATGGGCCTTTCCCCAAAATATCTGAAGCATTTTGGGCTTCACTTCGGGCTTCATTCGAGCTGGGCACTTCGGGATTTGCCAGTGCGGAGAGGTAGTTTATTCACCTTTTCTTACTTGTTTAATTGTTTTTACAAAGATTGTGTTGGATTCACTATTTTACAAAGTTTACATTGAGTTAATATGATTAAAGGCGAGGGGGTCGGACTGCCTTTTCTCAAGTGAGAAAATAAAATCCACTTTAAAAAAATACATATAACAATTTTAAGATTGATTTTAAAACTTGACGTAAGAGCCACTTTCTTACTGAATTCTAAACAGCACTTTTATTTCAATTCATCTCACTTAAAGTCATCTTACTTAGCTTAAATTCATATTACTAAAAGGCTTTTTTGTCATAATAATTCTTACTTGAGTAAAAGACGAAACACCTTCGCATTTATTAATTATTTTTGATTGATAAAAGGTTGGTTTGTTCCCCTTGAAAATTCATCTAATTTCAGGTCAATGACGATAATTATTTCGTTTATCATTTTTAAGTTTAATTATACATTTTTAAAGTTTCCATTTTAAATTCCTTCAAGGTTCAATTTTTAAATGTGCTGATAAGTTACTTTATTTCAATAGAATTGTAACTACTTTTGTCAAAGGAGATAATATACTAAATAATCTATTAGGAAATAAATTATTATTTTATTACTTTGCAGCTTTTGCGCAAGTATTAAGCAATTTATTGCAATTAATTAAATTGTTTACTTATATATATATATATTACAGATTCATTTCAGTACTGTATTGGAGAAGGACTGTAAAAACAGTTTTATCAAGTGATTATTGGATTTCATCTATTAGTTGTTTTCACGGTATGACGAATTTTCGCCACACGAGGTACCCGTTTGTACAATTATAATGCTATTTATGATTACTGGCTTCGTTTTAGCACTGCAGTACTTTCAACAATGCTTTGGAGCAGCTACAAAAAAGTTTCTATTAGCTAATAAAATTATTATAGATACTGAAGTTGGACAAAAAGTACTCAGAAGTAAGACCTTTCAAGAAGAGAATGAGGATATTATTCTCCCAATGACACGATTTGGATAATTGTATGATCTTGAGTTTCCCTTCTGGTGGCGAAATAGACGTTTTTACAGATGGTTCTGGAATTGATGGGGGAGTAGGTAGCGCTGTGGTCATTTATTTTCATGGAGTGGAAATAGACAATGTGAGAATAAAATTTAAACCAATGAATTCAGTTTATCAAGCAGAAATATATGCACTGACAGAGGCTTTGAATTGGATTAATAAAAAATTAACATTTCGATGTTTTATAAATATTATTTATACTGATGCCCTATCTGCGCTTCAGGCACTCGCCCAACCAGATCATAAAAATCGACTGATGAAAGAAATAAAAGACTTGTTTAAAAAGGCCGAAAGAAAACATATTGTTAAATTACACTGGGCGAAAGCACACAGTGGAATTGTCGGAAATGAAAAGACGGACTCCCTTGCTAAAATGGTAGCACTTGGGGATGGGACCGATAATTTTGATATCCAAGATTCAAGAAAAAAGACCATTGCTAAAATGGAAAACTGGATTTATACAAAATGGAATTTTTGCTGGGGAGTCGTCTAATAAGAAAAAGAGTTAATGAAAACTATAAAGTTAAACAAGAAGATGAACATTATAAATAACGTTGATATAAATCAGGTACTGACTAATCATGGGCTTTTCCCTGCCTATTTTAAGCGGATTTATCTACAGGATAAAGATAAATGCTTAATTTGTGATAAGGTTGGGGACGCCAGGCACTTCGTCGATGAACGTATGCTTACCCGGAGTGCAAGAGAAAAATATAGAAAGCATTTTAAGGAAGATTTTAAAAGGAACTATTCAAATTTGAAATATTTTGCAGAGACAATAATGAAGATTATAAATATGAACAAAGATAGAGTTGGAATTCGGCACTGAGAGTCAAATTTTTCACTTTATATTTTTTTCCCTTATATTTGCTTTTTTGTGCCCTTATAATAATAATAATAATAGTAGCATGTATTTAATCAAGAGTTTTTAGGATGTATTGCTTGCATATGTAACCCGGTTTAAATGGTAGCAACATATTCGGTGTTTTGACAATATGCATATGTTGTATATAATTGAGGCTTTTCATTGTTTTATTGTTCATGTACGTAATCCAATTTTATTTGTAATAAGCACATTTTTTTGTTATGTTGAAAAGACTATGCTACTACATCTGTGCTCTAATTATTTGATATATAAGTAAGACGACGCATTCGCCCATCTTGAAATGTACTTAATACTGCTTTTGCAAGCTGCACTAACATTATTTGCATTGGCAATATAAAATCAGTAACTATGGGTCAATATGCGACTATAAAAAAAAAAAAAAAAAAAAAAAAAAAAAAAAAAAAACTATGCAACACAACTGCCGATGTAGCTTAACTGAATATTTAACTACGTATCTAAAATGGGTCTTGTTGACAATGTAATTATATATTTTTTTTTAATTTTGATTTCAATTAATGTTGTGCGGATCGCTGGCCTTACCCGAAGCAGAGCTTGGCGCGTCTTGCCCCGAGGGCTTATTTAAGTTGAAATGAAGTGCAGCAAAAAATATGTGTAATTTAATAGGCCGTACAAGGAAGTCATGGGGTGTCCACATCAAAATTTTTATAATGTATAGAGCTGAATATTGTTTTCACATTGAGAATGTCTTCCTTTCATAACAATGTGGGTGACTTTATAATAGGAATTTAGTTTTGGCTTAGCCGACCATGCTTAATATAATAAAAGGAAATTTTACATTTAGCCTAAGTATCTAAGAAAATTATACACTATCCAAAACCATTTAATTGATAGAACATTATAAAAATTAAACAGAAATTTATCTAACTTTAGGGATAAAATTTTGTTTTCAATTTCCTTTTTCTATTTTTTCGTTGAGTATTAAATTGACTAGTCAGAATTTGGCACCCCTTAAATTCTTTATTCTCATCACCTGTTTAGTCTGTTTAGTAATAAAAAGCTTCGTACTAAAATACGTTTTTAAATTTTGAAAAGCTGCACATTCTGAACGCAAGACAGCAATTATGAAATATGAAGAGACATACGGAGAGAATTTTGTTATCTATCAGCTAGATTCACGGAACTGTGCATGTTTTTTAAAATTCGTGCTCTGATTAAAGAAGCTTAATACCCATTTGCAGAAAAAATAAATAAATAAGATAAAAAAATTAAGATACCTAGATAATTCTCGTTCCTATATAAAGAAGCCAGTACACGTACGAACTGTTATCAAGTCTCAATATCAGAACCTCAGTTATATTATTAACACACTCCGTGTTCTGCAATTTTTATTTTTTGAAAC